CCAGTTCTCTAGATCATGAACCCCTGAACCTGAAACCCCGCCGCCCGCTTCGCTTAATCCTCTGCGCCCCAAATTTTGGAGAGAGTTCCCGGCGTCTTCACCATCATGGAATTGCTTGCGGCTTTGGGGGCTAGTCTTACTTATAGAATAAGAACAATGAATAAGAATAAGAACCAGACTAGGAATAGGAATAATTATGATAAAAAGATGCTAGAAGCTAAAGCCCTCAACAAGTTCGCTCTTAGGGCCGCTTGGGGCCTAGCCTAGTTGCTATCAATAACCAAAACTGCAGCTACCAGTTACCTTGCTTTTAATGCACCTTGAAACTACCGGTTTACACGTCCTAAAATCAATCTCACCCGAAACCCAAAACTCTAAACCCAAAAGCCTAAACCCTAAGCCCCCAACCCTGAACCCTGACCAGGTTTGAGTTTCGCCTGGGCCGCCCGACGACTCATTGGCCAGGGTCTCCACACTCCTGAGCCGATCCTGAGTCCACGTCTCGAGGTACTCCGTCGTTTAGGGTTTAGGGTTTAGGGTTTAGGCTTTAGGGTTTAGGGTGTGGCTGTGATGCTTGGGGTGTTTCACGGCTTTCGGGCGAGAGGGTGGTGGGGCTTGAGGTTTGGGGGTTCAAGGCTTTAGGGCTCATGCTTTAGGATGTAAGCTTAAGACTGTAGCCTTCTTATTCTTGGCTTCGGATTTACACTCTACGGAGCATACTTTCAGGATTCCGATGCTTGGTGGAGCAATGCCCGACAGATGATCCTGACAACCCCGTCCCACCCCCCCCCCCCATGCTCGACACGATGTAAAGTCTCACCTGCGTGGGTCTAACCCTACAATAGAAGATTTAACAGCTAGGCAAGGGTTTTGGGAATTTCCATACTGCAGATAGACACGAAACAGGCGGATCATGATTCAGCCCTCTATGTGTACATCCTACACTGCACCCTAAACCTGGAAATCCTGAAGACATTTTACCCCCGGGTTCCCCTCGGCCTTGTGCCGGCGCGCCGCCTCCGTGCGGTCGTTCATCCGCTCCCGGCGTTCTTCCGCCAACAAGCGGAGAGCCTCTAACCAGAGACTCCCAAACCATTGAACAAATGTACAGCAACAGTGGTCATAAGCACTGGCGGCAACAGCAGCAATAGTAAAAACCGTAGCAGTAGCAGAAGCAGCAGCAGCAGCAGCAGCAGCAGCAGTGCAGGTGCAGTAGTAGCAGCCTCAGTAGCAGTAGCAGTACTAGCGTTAGCAGTAGTAGTAGTAGCAGCAGCAGCAGTAGTAGTCGTCGTCGTGGTTCCTCGTAGCCGTCGGGTCGGCAGTAGCAGCAGCAGTAGCAGTACTAGTTTCGTTGAACGAGTGTTAAGAGTGGTAGAATGTGGTCTTACCTCCAGTGTCATGTCCATCGCTGTGATATTGCTCCTTCATTAGTACTAGTGTTTCCACCACGGCGAGTACTGCGGTTACTAGTTTTTTAAGCTGGTTTTGTCATGAGTTCAAGCTGCAATCCCGAAGGGTGAGACTTTAGGGTGTGAAGATGGTTTAAGGGTCCAGTTGTCAAGGAACCCTAGACCCAAACCCCAACAACCCTAAAGCGTGGCAGATGATAAAACCCTTTTTCAAGGGTTCCTATACGGCTGGCTACAGGGGGCGAAAAAGGGTTCCGACGAAGGGGGTTTCTTTGAAGCTTCTTTGCGGTTTAGGGTTTAGGGTTTAGGGTTTAGGGTTTAGGGTTTAGGGTTTACGGGACATTTTGAGGCAGAAGGACAGTAGAATGGAGAACAAAGTGGAGCAAACCCCATGTCAGCGGGACTGGACCCGATGCAGCGCCAGAAAACCCGACAAACCCCGGCTAGACAGGCAGGAAGCTCCCTCAAATGTCGGCTTTTGGCGAAGAAGTTGCAGCTGTGAGGGTCAACGGCTCTGTATCCACCGGGTGGAAATGCTCGGGTTTCTGTTTGTGGTCTAAGGACCCTCAACCCTAAACCCCTCAACCCTCTCAGGGCTCAGGAGCTTTTGTTTCGGATTTTTGCCGTTCTTGCTTCCGCAAGATGGTCTTGGATCGCCTGGGCTGCTTACGGAGGCATCTCCTCCCGGCTCACAGGAGCTGGGCAGCACTTGGGTTTTTTGAGGGGTTTCTAAGGTTCAGAGTTCAGGGTTTAGGGTTTAGGATTCAAGGTTGAGGATTCAGGGTTTAGGGTTCAAGGTTCAGGATTCAGGGTTCGGGGTTCAGGGTTGAGGGTTCAAGGTTCAGGGTTTAAGGTTCAGGGTTTCAGGGCCTGGGAGTCCAGGCTCAGGGATGCTCGGAAAAGGGACACTGCAGCCTCCGATGAGCTCAGAGGACATCCCTTGTCTTCAGCACATTCTCTGCACACAAAAGCGGGTGCTCTTCAGGGGCCTCACCGAGGGCAGACGGAGGTTTCCGGCTCCCAAAACCAACTCAGGACGGTCGAGCCCACTTCTGCCGAGCTCATGGGAAGCCTCAGCAGTTCACCACGTTGTCGTGCTGGTCTTTGCAGGCTGGGAGTCCAGGGAGACGCAGGTGTACGGATGCGGTCCAGGTAGTTGGGACAGGGTTCACAACGGAGGGCCGCGGCTGGGCTTGGCTCCTCCTAGGTTTGCCTGCTTCGGCGCATCCAGCGTCCCCTACGTGGCGGCTCCTCCTCTGCAGGAGTCTCCGATTTTGTCGCCTCGTCCACCTAAGTTGTCCTTTAAGCCCTTTGAAAATTATTTACTATTATGGCTCTNNAAAGATCCCAAAAGACAACCCAGCCACCAAAGACATGCTCAGGGCCAACTGCAGCTCCGGGTCGGAGTCGCTGTTTTGGGCGCTGTCGGGTCCGCGAAGCTCCGACACCTCCTGGCCCCCTAAGCCCCTTTCCTGCGCGAGCAGAGCGCTCTCCCTTAAAGCCGCCTGGAGCTCGAAGTCCTCCAGCTCCTGGGAGTTAGGATTAGGGTTTAGG